GAGATAAATCACAATCTCAACCCAGGAGAAAATTCAAGTGTTATCACTGCGGTGAAGAAGGGCATATCAAAAGAAACTGCAAAGCCTGGAAGAACAGAGGTTGGAGAAACAACAAGACAGAGAACGATGAAAATACCGCAACCCCTGTGATCAATGGGGAAGTGGTGTTGCTCTCTGTTGAAGAAGAAGAGTGTCACGTTGCAAATTCATGTGTCGAATGGGTCATTGACTCAGCAGCATCATACCATGCAGCCTCTCACAAGGAATTCTTTTCTCTATACAAAGAATAAGACTTTGGTAGAGTAAAGATGGGCAACAACAACATTGCAAATATTGTGGGAATTGGTTATGTGTGCATTCAAACTGATATTGGGTGCACAATAACACTGAAGGACGTACGACATATACCAGATTTACGTCTGAATCTGATCTCTGTGCATACATTAGATCTAGCAGGCTATACTAACAATTTTGGTAACGGCACGTGGAGGCTTACCAAAGGATCGTTGTTAGCTGCTAGAGGTACAGTGAGATCGACACTGTACAGAACTCAAGTGAAGCTGATCAAGGGTGGATTGAATGCAGTCGAGGATGATGCTTCGCCAAATTTGTGGCACAAAAGACTGGCACATATTGGTGAAAAAGGATTACAAATTTTGGCAAGAAAGTCCCTCATCCCATTTGCCAAAGATTCAAAACTGAATCCTTGTGATTACTATCTCTTTGGGAAGCATCATAGAGTGTCTTTCAGCAAAACCTCGAAGCTGAAAGAGAATGTGTTGGAGATGGTGTATTCTGATGTATGTGGACCCATGGAAGTGGAGAGTCTCGGTGGTAGCAGATATTTCGTGACATTTATTGATGATGCTTCACGAAAATTGTGGGTGTATTTCTTGACAACGAAGGGTGAAGTTTTTCAATACTTCAAAAGGTTTCATGCTATGGTGGAGAGACAAGCTGGTAAACCTTTGAAGTGTCTTCTCTCAGATAATGGGGGGGAGTATACTTCCCATGAATTCAAGAATTATTGTGCCGAGCATGGCATCAGGCATGAGAAGACAGTACCTGGAACCCCACAACATAATGGTGTGGCTGAACGAATCAACAGAACCATTATGGAGAAAGTGAGGTGTATGTTAAGAATGGCTAAGCTACCTAAGCCATTCTGAGGTGAAGCTGTTCTAACGGGGTGCTACCTGATCAACCGATCTCCATATGTTCCTTTGGGCTTTGATATCCCCGAGAGAGTATGGTCCAGACATGATGTTAAATACTCTCATTTAAAGGTGTTTGGATGCAAAGCTTTTGCTCACGCAAGTAAGGAACAGAGACGAAAACTTGAAGATAAAGCCATTCCTTGTATATTTCTGGGCTATGGAGATGAGGAATTTGGCTACATGTTATGGGATCCAGAAAATCAAAAAATTATCAGAAGCAGAGATGTAGTGTTCCATGAGCAAGAAACTATGTCTGATTCTGCTTCACCAGAAACAAGAGAACCAAGTGGAAAGGTGGATCTTTCACCTGTCAAACCTCCTGGAGATGCCACATCAAGGGGAGAGTGTGATGGAGAACTCAGGGTTGATGATGAGCCAACAATAGAAGATGGTGATGGTGAAGGTGTTGAGCAAGAAGACCTCGAAGCTCCGCCTCAGCTCAAGAGATCAAATTGAGCGATCCAACCGTCTACGAGATACCCTAGTTCCACGTATATTACCATCACTGAAGAAGGGGAGCCAGAAAGCTTTGAAGAAGTTCAGACTCATATGGATAAATCCCAGTGGATGAAAGCCATGCAAGAAGAAATGGATTCACTAATGAAAAATGACACTTATGAGCTTGTGAAGCTTCCGGAAGGCAGAAAAGCCTTGAAGAATAAATGGGTGTTCAAGCTTAAGAAAGATGGTGACAAGTTGTTGAAGTACAAGGCTCGCTTAGTTGTGAAAGGATTTGGACAAAAGCGAGGAATAGATTTTGAAGAGATATTCTCTCCAGTTGTAAAGATGAGCTCTATTCGAGTAGTACTCGGATTGGTGGCTAGCTTGGATCTGGAGCTTGAACAACTAGATGTGAAGACTGCATTTCTTCATGGAGACCTAGATGAAGAAATCTACATGGAGCAACCAGAAGGATTTGAGAGGACTGTAAAGGAGCACATGGTTTGCAGATTGAAGAAGAGTATGTATGGACTAAAACAAGCTCTAAGACAATGGTACAAGAAATTTGACTCGTTTATGGCGAGCCATGGATATACCAAGACTGACGCTGATCAATGTGTCTTCGTTAAGAAATTTCCAGGTGATAAATTCATTATCCTTTTGTTATATGTAGATGATATGCTGATAGTGGGACATGATATGAAGTTGATTGGTGATTTGAAGAAGGAATTGGCGAAGTCCTTTGATATGAAGGATCTAGGCCCTGCGAAACAAATTCTGGGCATGCAGATCATACTAAACCGAAAATCCAAGAGATTATGGTAATCGCAAGAACGATATGTGAATCGGATTCTAGAGAGATTCAACATGAAATCGGCTAAGCCGGTCAATACACCGTTGGCCAATCACTTCAAACTCAACAAACAAAGTTGCCCTACGAGTCAAGAAGAAAAAGAAGCTATGGCGGGTGTTCCATACTCCTCGACAGTCGGGAGTTTGATGTATGCCATGGTCTGTACCAGACCAGATATCGCTCACGCGGTTGGAATTGTTAGCAGGTATCTTTCCAATCCTGGAAAGGATCATTGGGAAGCTGTGAAGTGGATCTTGAGGTACCTAAAAGGCAGTGCAAATAAGTCCTTGAGCTTCGGAAAAGGAAACCCAATTCTTGAAGGTTATACAGATGCGGATATGGCAGGTGACCTGGATAGTAGAAAATCTACTTCAGGGTTTGTGTTTACATTTGCAGGGGGAGCTGTATCTTGGCAATCTAAATTGCAGAAATCTGTTGCCTTGTCACTACTGAAGCCGAGTATATTGCTTTGACAGAAGCAGGAAAAGAAATGCTTTGGTTGAAGAGGTTTCTTCAACAATTGGGAATGAAGCAGGAAATGTGCGATATCCATTGTGATGGTCAAAGCGCATTAGATTTGAGTAAGAATGCGATGTACCACTCTCGCACGAAGCACATTGATGTCAGATATCATTGGCTACGTCAAGCAGTGGAAGAACAACTGTTCAAGTTGGAAAAGATTCACACTGACAAGAATCCTGCTGACATGATGACAAAAGTTGTAACAGGAGGAAAGCTTCAGCTTTGTGCCGAGTTGATCGGCATAGAATGCATGTGAGATTTGCAGAATATTTCCCTTTGGCTGGAGGGGGAGAATTGTGGGGTCCAACCACATAATTCAGCAAAACCATGTGAAGAAAGCAAACAAATAGACAAAAATGGTTGTAAGATTCCAACCACTCAAATAGATTAGACATTTTTTAAGCAATGGTGGGTTGTAAATTTTGACGTATTGCTGCAATCCTTCAGTATAAATAGCAGAATTCAGCAGATCAAATATGCACCGAGAAGAAGAAAGAAAAAGAGAGCAGAAATAATTTCTGGAGTGTTATTTTTCAGTGAGATAAAAATAGAGTGTTTGAGTAAATCCTGTGAGTGTGGGAAAAATACACCGGGTTGGGTATCAACTCTATTATTCCTTGTTTAGGAGTGGGGTCTCACTGGGTCACTATATTTTACATTTCTAGTGTAAGGGAGTGTGAAAAGATATTGTAATTATCTTGAAAATATAGTGGAATTGTTCGGAGGTTGTCCCGTGGTTTTTTTCTCTATTTGGAGGTTTTTCCACGTTAAATCTTGGTGTCTTATTTCTTACATATTTTATTTATTTGGAATATTCTTAGTATGCTTTGTGGTCGCAATTTAATCTGAACTTCCACATCAGAAAAGAATTATTCCAGTATTATTGCAAGAGATTTCTTTTGTCATTTTTGAGTTGGTGGGATTGTGATTATTGTTTATCATTTTACCTCGTTGTTTTAAGTTATACCTTTCGCATTTGCGCATCTGAGCCCAACACCTTTACCAAAAAAAAAAATCAAATCTATATCCAATCATCCTCAATTTATACATGGGTGCAGGTGATCCGTTCTCATTCCCTTTCCCCGTGCCCACTTTTCTGTATAAATACCGCCACCTTATAATTTTGCAAAATCATTTGCAGCATTCTCCGCTCCTGAGGTGTCACGTCAAGGTACTACTCCAGTCTCCATTACCAGCTACATTTACACTTTGCGTTTGAGCTAAATCTGATGTAATTGCGAGATTATGAATGATGAATCGGTATCATCGGAACAGAGATTGACGGCCGTTCACTTCAGTTTTCCGGAATACAGAGCTAATCTTCTCTGTTTAACACGACCTGCCGAAGTTCGCGTGAGTTTTTTTCTTCTTCTTTTTCCATTTGGTCAGCAAATAAGTATGTGCAGATTTACTTGATGGTCGATGGATATGCAATCGCAACGTAATTGCGTGTTTATTTCATTTTTTTCGGCTTGCGAAGAGAACATTTGTTTCGAAATAGAGCTAATTCTCGCATTAGCTGCTTTGATTTTACAAGCTTTGGCTGATTTATTATTATTTATTTATTTTTTGTTGGCTTTTAGATGGAATAAGGAGTGATTTGGCAAATAATTTTGTTTTAAGCTGAGTTATATTATTGCTGATGTAATTGATCTTCAATATTCGTTGTTTGTTGCTGTCAATCCGGAGACCTTCCTCAAAAGATATGACTCGATTGTTGAGCATTGATTGCGAAACTTCAGAGTAGCAATGGAACATAATAAATCTGCACCGAAAGCCTAGCAGCATGATGATAGCTTGTTGTAAAATATTATAATATCAGAGGTTTCAATATGTATTATTCGGTATTGTAGTTTATTATTCTCTGTCATATCTTTATAAAGAAAAATTCTCTGTTGTATATTTGATCTTAATCTATTCAGGTGTCCTGCTAATTTTTCAGTTTGTCAAATAACATTGGTTCACACATGGACACTTACGCATTGAAGGCAGTGACGGACTTACCTGCTCCATTTCGCTCTGCTTTTAGTTTCAGGTTCTTCTCTATTAATCTATGGTTCCAATACTATACTTGACATGGAAATCAGGTCATCCACTGACATGCAGATGACCGCACCTTGATACTAGGAAAAACGGGTATATGCTAAAGCATTAGTATATTAAGAATCCTAAGAGGATGATTGCTACGAGCAATGTTAGACATCTTATACCTGAGAACATATTTTGTTCTCATAGGAATGCAGACCTCAGGAGTTCAATCATGGTGACTTGCTAGACCAAACACTAAGCAATGTTCCCATCCCTGAGGAATCTTTCACTTTTAGTAGTTCAGTTGATATGAACATTTTATTGGGTTGTTCATGTATTTAATTGTTTGTGATTTCCCTCTTGTTGCTCTGAAAGGTTACTGTTATATCTTTTGGAATATGCAGGTATTTCAACTCGTTGCAGAGCGAATGTTTTCCTACATGCTACCTTTTCGATGTGAACATGGTCATTTCAGCACCAACTGGAAGTGGAAAAACAGTACTTTTTGAGTTATGCATTATGAGGCTTCTCTCCAAGTCCATCAATGGTGATGGGAAATTCACCAACCTTAAGGGGACCCTTAAAACAGTATGTATCTGATGAATTATCATAATGGCTCCTTTATTTTATGCCATTTCAGGTCTGTATTCTAAAATGCTGTCTTACACTTTGCGTTCATTTTAAGATATCTGTACAACTGTAATTGAGACATATGAAAGCCTTGACCTGTCTCTTGGCACAAGACAAAACTTCATAACTTCCTTATATCAACTTATCTTCTCTTTAGTTGCTCACTGGAGTAAATATATTCTGTCATGAAGATCTACATAGCACCATCAAAGGCATTGGTACAAGAGAAGCTGCGGGATTGGACTCAGAAACTTGGACCACTGGGAATACATTGCCTCGAGTTAACGGGTGATAATGAGTACTATAGCATAAAAAATATACAGGATGCTGACATTATTCTTACCACACCCGAGGTTAGTGGCTAGAAACATATTTCCCCATCTTCAAATGATCTTTATGACTTTGGTTTAGACCTGACCTCCCTTCCTCACAGAAATTTGATGCTGTGACTCGTTATCGTATAAAAGATGGAGGTTTGAGTTTTTTCAGCGATATAGCACTTGTGCTTATTGATGAAGTTCATTTGCTGAACGACCCTCGAGGAGCAGCTCTAGAAGCAATAGTCAGCAGAATTAAAATGATTGCTCGCAGCCCTGAAATGAAATCAAGTTCTTTATCCCTTATTCGATTCTTAGCTGTTTCTGCTACAATTCCAAATATCAATGACCTTGGTAATACTTGGTTATTGCTGAGCTTTACTTTCTGAACTTCAAAATGTGGATAATGGTTGATATTTATACAATTACACATTTTACAGCGGAGTGGCTTATGGTTCCTACTCAGGGAATTAAAAGGTACCCTCAAGTCCCCTATTATTAGGTAAAAGCTCACCTTCAATTATTGCTAAGTTCTGTGACTTTTTCTTTCTGCAGGTTTGGAGAAGAAATGAGACCAGTAAAGCTGACTACCAAAGTTTTTGGTATGCATATTTCCTTAACAGTAGTTCAGTTGACTGTTACTATCAGTAATTTCACAAGTTTATGAACATGATGATAAATTGCTGGATAATGAACAAAATGTTTTGGCATACTAAAAGGAGATAAGTCTTGTGTGAAGTTAAGGAAAACTAATTCTTTACAGGATACGCAGCAGCTAAAAATGATTTCTTATTTGAAAAGGTATGGTTGGGAATACATGATTAAATCCGTGATGATTTCTTTTCCTTCCATCTCTAAGTTTCTTATACTATATCACATTTCAAGATTCTTTCGTGTTTCCTGCTGATGAACTCCTTGTTTTGATTGTTCAGCGTCTTCAAAACTACATTTATGGTAAGCTGGAAAACCTCACTTTCATCACACTTCCTGTAGTTAAATCATAGTATTTTAAAGTGGTATAGCAGCTACAATAACCAGATGTCTTCAATCATCAGATCTTCTCATGCAATTTTCTGGAGGAAAATCTGCCTTGATCTTTTGTTCCACCAGAAAAGGAGCACAAGAAGCTGCACAACGACTCTCCCAGATAGCAATGACTTTTGGCCATTCAAGTCCTTTCATCAAAAGCAGAGAACAACAGGAAAGATTAAGGGAAGCCTCATTGTCATGTAGTGACAAACAAATGCAGTCTTACATACTTTATGGTGGTACGATATTATTCTTTTATATTTTGTGAGCGGTTAGGGTCCATGAGTATGGTGTAGTAGGAAAGTTTGAAGAAGGTTAAATCAGACTAATTTAATGTTCAATTTCCAGTTAACTTTGACATCTGCTAATTGTGCTTGCACAGTTGGATATCATAATGGTGGACTTTCTTTGAAAGATCGGAATCTCATTGAAGGACTTTTTCTGAATGGCGATCTTCAAATTTTGTGCACCACCAATACTCTGGCCCATGGAATAAATCTACCGGCACATACTGTTGTCATCAAATCCACACAATATTTGTATGTCCTCTATCTTTTTCTTAGCATTTCTTTTAAACCTATTATAGGTATCAAGGGTGAGAGGCAGTTCATCCAGATTTTCTTAGTTGTATTTTGCCCTTATGATCCAGGCTTATATCAACTACCGGCACATACTGTCTTTGAAAGTTTTTGAAACCTCTGCCCACGTACCTCGTGATTTTT